CCTTGCAAGGCAGAGGCAGGCGGGTCTTTGTGAGTTCGAGGCTAGCCTGGTCTACATAGAGTTCCAGGACAGCTGGGGCTACAAGGAGACCTTGTCTCAAAAAAAAGACAAAAAAATTTTTTTTTGATTTTCAGATATTATCGATATGTAGGATGAGACTAGACGCTGAAACTTTCTCAAACAAAATACAAAAAAAGCATGTTGATATGCCATTTAGGTGCAAACTATCTCCCCAGTGCTAGGACTACAGGCATGCAACATATTTGGTTGATAAATACTTGGGATGAAACTCAGGGCTATATACATGCTATGCAAGTACTCTACCAGTTGAGCTACATTCTTACCCCCAAGTTTCATTAAACATTTAAAAAATATATTTTACTATTTTTATGTGTATGAGTGTATTGCCTGCATATGCATGTAAGTGCACCAGTGTTGTACAATGCCTGCAAAGGTCAGGTGTCAGATTCCCCTAGAACTGAAATTACAGATGGTTGTTAGCCAACATGTGGGTACTGGGAATGGAACCCAGATCCTCTGCAAGAGCAACCAGTGCTTTTAACCACTGAGCCAACTCTCCAGCCCCTCACTAGACTTTTAGACCTAGTTTTTGATGTTCCAATAACAATGTCAAACTATTTTCATATTAGAAAACAAAAGCCACCAAAGTATAAAGTATTAATATCTTTATTATAGCGTAATGCAGCATTTATACATTAACTCATTTTACTGTAAAAACATTTTATGTACAACTACAGAGAAACTCCTATACAGACAGCTCCAACATAAAAACAGGATGTAATTTAAAATTCCAGTTATTTGATAAACTGGAAAATATTGTCTCTGTAGAAAACAGTAAAGTAAAAAAAATGTAGATATCTAGAGTAGCCCAACAAGCCCATTTTAAACCAAATAATAACTGAATTATAAATATTGTTTTAATTCTGGGACCCAGAAAAAAAGTTACCTTCATTTGTTGAAAATCACGTTTTATTTAAAATTGTATAAATGAAGCTTCTATGGATCTTTCCCCTTGCTGTTTGATTTTTGGCAGATCATTTTTCTACAGGCTAACACATAATCCACATCTAGGTTTTAGCCATTCCTTCTGAACAGGCAGTCAGTATGTCCTTTAGTCTACCAGGTATGGCATATGCCTATTCTAACCATGAAATGTTTTAGTTATTATTAAAGCATGCCTAGTATTTGGGCAAAATAAAAGCTTAATAAATTATACTCCACAAAGGCCATCAACAAAGAACAGGAATACAGTGGAAACTGACAAGCAGATAAAGTAATACATTCTGAGCAGAGTACGAAGAATCATCTGGTCAAATTCAAGGAGAGAATTGAAATCCAAACAGAAAAAAAAGACCTGCCTCCACTATGAGCCGAGCTGGTGATCGGAGCCCTCAGTACCAAGTGCTCCAGTAAATGGCAAAGACCACATCAAATCAGAGTTTAGGAAGATTTCAGTTATCAAAACAACTAAAAAATGAAGACTCATGTGGTTCTGATTTTCCTTCCTAGCTTATTCTAAGATTGCCAGTGTAGTCTTCTCTAGCAAGGCAAGAAGACACCACGCTCTTCTAAGCTCCCACGCTGGGCATTTCCCAGAGAAATATGATCGAGTCACCTGGCCAGATGCTACACTGAGTTCTTCAGTTCCCTCAAAGCAACAACTAAAATTACAGTTTGTCTCAAAGAATTCTCTAAGCCCTGATAAGTTTTCAACAAAGAAGCACTTTAAGCCAGGCATGGTGGTGTACACCTTTAATCCCATTGCTGGGGAGGCAGAGGCAGGCAGAACTCTGTGAGTTCCAGGCCAGTTGGAGATACAGGGAGACCCTGTCTCAGAAAGAACAACAACAACAAAAGATGAAGAAACAATTGACCATTCTGCACCTAGAAGCCTAGCTTGCCTACTAGTGGTTAACCTCTTGAATCATCCATGACCCATGTGCAAAGAATATGTCCCCATCTTCTCTGGCTCCTCAGTTATGGATGCTTCCTTCTGACATGTGTAGAATTTTTGTGGACCTTTTGGAAAAACTCTTCAGGAATACAAACTGTGCCCCCCTCCTCCCTTAATTTCTTCTTGGTAAATGCTAATCAAAAATCCTAAAGTAGAACATAAGCATTTAAATATCACTTATCCAGCCTCATAACTTATAAAAGAAGCTACAGAGCCACTTTATACATTTGGAATTTAACGTTAAAGACATTGGCTTTCTATTAAAATGTACTTCTACATTTTATCTGTTAGTCACCTTATAAGAAACAGAGTATCAAGATGTACAGCTAGAGAACTGATAATGTGTTTTGTCCCCCAAAGCCAGAGCAGCCTGGAACAAACTATTCAAATCAGCTAAGTTTCAAATGGTGTTTCAAAAACATTCTCAGCATCAATCCTCGGAAGACCTGTTCTAGGACATGAGTAATTGTCAGGAGGCCAAGGAATGCCAATTATCAAAAGCCCTGACTTTCAGAGGCTCAAGTGGCTCTCCAGAGACTGAAGCATTCCCTTGGGTATCTTTTAGAGGACACTAGTAAGAGACATTTTGGGGACTGGAGATGTAGTTCAGTTGTAGGGCACTTGTTTAGCATGTGTGAGGGCCTAGGTTCAAGTCTCAGTACATGCACACACACAAATGCACACAACATACAAGGATAGGCAGATATACTGTTTGATTTTATCTTGTACATCTACAAGACATATTAACAAAGATGCAATGAATCTGTGTCCCTTTTCAAATAAAAACTGACAATGGTCAGAAGAAATAATTTAGAAGCCTGTTTCTCTGCATGGAATGAGGACTGAGCAACTGATCAAAAAGGTAACACTGTGGGCTTTGAACTGTGCGAAAACAATGTTCAGTTCCACACTGTTATGCCATCCTATTTGGCCAGGCAAATCTCTGGTTCACTCACTGACCAAAGGCTTTATTAAAACTCCGCTTCTGGCCTTTGTTTGGGGATCTGCTACTTTTGCTGCCACCTCCTGGGCGCTGTCCCCTGAAGTTTCTATTTCCTCCCCGCTGTCCCTGTCCCCTGAAGTTTCTGCTTCCACTTCGCTGTCCTCTGAAACCACCACCGCCACGGCTGCCATCCCGCTGGCCTCTGCCACCCCGATAGCCTTCCAGTGGCCCTTCCAGTTCCGGCTGCTCTGTTGCCACAGCCAGCTGCCAACGCCGAGAATCATGCCACTTCTCCTGTGGACACAAGGATTTAATTTATTAAATCTGGTTAACACCATGAAAAAAAATACTTGGCTGCCATTCTCCAAAGAATTAGATTGATAACTTAGGTGCTTAACAAAAGCTGCTAGTGCCAAGTAATGTGGCCCCCAAAGCCAGTGCCACTTGTATGGAATTAATTGTTAAATGGAAGGCAGCCCCCACTGCTATGTCATTTTTAAATACTGTTGTTGCGGAGTCGCTATAGCTGTCAGAGATCATAAGCAAATATACTGTGTATAAACACTTCTCACAGCAGTGCTGAAGGAAGATGCAGTAACTGAAAATGTGCACGAAACTGTACTGCAAAGAGCACAACAGACAAAAGCTGGATACTGTGTACAACTCTAGAAAAGGAGAAAAGGCAGGCTCAACAAGGGTAAACTCGGCTTCAGCTTCTGCGAAGCGTTTCTCCACTGTCTTTTAGTAAAGCACCAGAAAGGCTGCAGCCCATTCTGTATTTTCATAACAAACTTTATTAGTCTATTAATATTAAAACCAAGGAGAAAATACCTGTATTTCTGTGACTGCTTCACTGCGGACATCAAAACAAACACCCTAGAAAAATCAAAGCAAGCAGTGTTAATCCAACCAGTACACAATGAGTAATACTGCAATACAAAGTACTCTGTAAGAACCCAGCAAGTACTAACCAGATGGACTTTAGAGCACAGTCAGCACACGAAAACTCCTGACAGCGCAACAGCAGAAAGCCAAGGGCAGCTCAAAAAGGACCAGAAGATGCTGCAACTTCCTGGCTAGAGGTACTCTTGGATGTTACACTGCGCCAGCCTGTCTTCAGGATGACACAACTAAACCAGAAAACTACTGCTGGTTTTCTAGTTTCTCAGAATCTAGCTCCTTGTGAGAGAAATACACTTTACAGGATGCAGTCTTTGGTACGAAGTGCCCTAAATCAGTCTGGGAAGTCACCAAAAATGCCAAACTATCTGTGTGGGCACAGGTTAAGTTACACTCTTTCCATCTTGCAGTTCACCAACACCAATTACAGCACAGGTTCTAGTCAGATACTGATGATTCTGACATTACCAAGTATTTCAAGTACAACATCAGGCATTCATTGAGGGTATATAGGTAACTAGAAAGGACATCACAGGGATCAAGGCCTTCCATTGCAAGCATCATAGCAAGGTAAAATTTACCAAGGTAAACAGTATGCCCTAAAAACTGACAGACAGGGAAGGATCCCTCTAATTGTAGTGAGGATGGGGAAGCTTCACAGGGAGTTAAAGCTAAGTGAAATTACGAAGGACTCAGTGAAGAGAAGACACCGTTAAGCAATGGGGTCAGCCTGTACTTGACACTTGCACTGGGATAAGAAGGCATGGTGCTTGGTACTACTGGGGTGTTGGGGGTGATGAGACAGAATTGAAGATGGTAATGGGGCAGTTCTATCCTCAACTTGCTGAGGACAGCTCACGGCTTCTCTGATCACACTTTTACTTAACTCACCACGCATCTTCACATAACCTCCAGTATCAAACTGATCTGGTTAGTGAGGCAAGTTCTCCACCTTTAATACACACACCTCACCATCCAGGGGGGACACAGTTAAGAACTATTTTCCAATAATACTTAGGTATTATGCCCCCCACCCCATTTTTTTCAGACTGGGTTTCCCTGTAGTCCCAGCTGGCCAGGACTTGCTATGTAGACCAGGCTGGCTTCACCTCAGAGATCCTTCTGCCTTTGCTGGATTAAAGGCTGCACCACCATGCCTGGCTTGTCTGCATTTTTTATCCTCATTTCCCAGGAAGGGTTCAGTGATGACTTCAAGGTTCAGGAGATAAGATTCTAAGTTTCAAACTAGAACTCAAAGCTCTGAACTAAAATACTTAATAAGCCAGGTAGGTGAAGATAATAGGGAAGTGGCTGGACTTTGAAGCCTAGCACTAGGACAGGCTTGGGACTGTGACAACTGTGCTGCCAGTCACCAAGTGGTAACTGGAGGCGACAGAATACACTGGCCAGGGAGGAGGAGAGTGAGAAGATGCTGCATCCCCCATGGGGTCAAGGGACACACTCTGCCAACCACAGGAAGTCACTGAAGCAAAGTGAGGTCATGAAGAGGTCCAGACTTACCAGCTTGCCTTTGAGGAAGACCATTCCCTTCACTTTGGAATCAATGCTCTCACCCAGTTGCTCCTTAAGTTCTTTCCAAGCGTAACTAATGTTGGGCATTTCAATTGAGCACTGCAGGATCATGGTCACAAAGCCCTTGCAGAAGAAAGGGGCATAAATTAAAGTCTTGAAAACAAAAATTTGCTCAAGAAAGTATTTTTGGAGTTCTTTTTTTGGTGGGGTTTACTTTGAGACGGGGTCTCCCTGTAGCCCTAGCTGGCCTGGAATTCACTATGTAGACCAGGCTGGCCTTGAACTCAGAGATCCACCTGCTTCTGCCTCCCAAGTGCGGGGACTAAAGGCATGCACCACCACACTTAGCTGGAGAAGTTTACTTTTTAAAAGCACCACCTTCCCCTACCACACACAATCAGTACAAACTGGGCAACTCTTTTCATTAAGACTGGAAGACTGCATCAATGTTGATAACCTGGTTGTTGGTTTTCTGAAACACTATCACCAGAGAAAACTGGGCTGAATGTACAGGGGGACCTCTGTAGTACTCACACCACATGAGCATCTACAATTACCTCAACAAATGTCTGAAAACTTCTATTTATCAAAGGAAGCAATTCACTATTGTAGTTTACAATTCAGTGCATTTGAAATTTTTTTTTTGGAAAATACATTCACAAAGTTTGAAACCATTATCTAAGATTCCAGAACATCTGATCACCCCAGAACACCCATTAGCAGTTACTATGCTTTTCCTCCTACCTTACCCCTGGGAACCACTAATCTTTTCTGTTTCTTTTGATTTATATGATTTTAACTAGAAAAATAGCAAAATACAGTTGATACCTTCCTATCTCTTTGAGCAAGTAAAAACAAATAGGAAGTTTAAATACATTTTTTTTTCCAAGTCTTAGACTCTACAGTGTCCAAGTCTTACCGCTTGTGAATTGATCAAGGAGCGCTGGTCGACTGATGTGGCACCTGAAATATGGGCCAGTGCTGCTGCCAGGGCCTCCACAGCTCCCTTTTCCTCTATCAGCCTCTCAGCTGACTGCTTGAAGTGGCCAATAGCGGTGGGAGGCACAGAATCTAAAAGCCTGTGGTTTGACAGCATATTTGTAGGTGACAAGTTCCCATAGTAACTTATTTTATTTTATTATTTTTATGTGTATGTGTGTATTGCCTGCATGTACGTTAAGTGCACCCGTGCCATGCAATGCCCACGGAGGACAGAAAAGGCTGTCAGATCGCCTGGAACTGGAGTTTTAAGACAGTTGTTAGCTGCCATGTGGGTGCTGGGATTTGAACCAGGGTCTTCTGCAAGAACATCCAGTGTTCTTAACTGCTGAGCCATCTCTCCAGCCCCTCCCATAGTAATTTTAAATGAGTAATTTTAAAAAATGTTCATCAATGGGACTAGAGATGTGGTTCAGTTGGCAGAATGCTTGCCTAACATGCAAGAAACCTTGGGTTCCATCCCCAGCATTGCATAAACTGGGCATGATGGTACATGCCTATAACCCCAATACAAAGAGGTTCCACAGAGCATTTGTTTTGTTGTGCTTTTTGGAGACAGGGTCTTATGTCTGGCCAGCAACTTGCTATGTAAAGCAGGCTTGTCTTAAACTTGATCCTCTTGCTTTTACCTCCTGACTGCTGGAATAACAGGTCTGCATCACACAGTGCATAGCCCTATAATGCCTTTTAAACTGATGGTAAACAATGTTCTTTTTTTCAAGTCTTTTTTGAGACAGGGTCTCCCTGTAACCTCAACTGGCCTGGACCTCATTATGTAGACCAGACTGGTCTAGAACTCACAGAGATCTGCCTGCCTCTGCCTCCCAAGTGCTGGGATTAAAAGTGTGCGCCACCATACCTGGCCTGTTCAATTTTTTTTTTTTTAGCAATAAGCACATGTTAAGTTTTAGAACTAGAGAAAACAAGTCACATTATGAAATTTTTAAAAAGATTCTCTAAATCGGGGCTAAATATATAGGTTAAAAATATGGGGAGGCCAGGCACGGTGGCGCACACCTTTAATCCCAGCACTTGGGAGGCAGAGGCAAATGGATCTCTGTGAGTTCAAGGCCAGCCTGGTCTATATAGTGAGTTCCAGGATAGCTAGGGCTATAGGGAGACCCCGTCTCAAAAAGACCCAAAAAAAAAATATGGGATTGGGGATTTAGCTCAGTGGTAGAGTGCTTGCCTAGCAAGCACAAGGCCCTGGGTTCGGGCCTCAGGTCCGAAAAAATATATATATATACATATATATATAGTCTAGGCTTGGTGGGGCATGCCTTTAATCCCAGCACTTGGGAAGCAGAGGCAGGGATACCTCATGAAATCAAAGCCAGTTTGGTCTACATAGTAAGTTGTAGGTCAGCTGGGGCTATAGGGAGACCCTGTCTCAAACAAACAAACAATATATATAGTGACTTTCATGAGATTGTTAGTAGATGGCTACTCTTGGCATTAATAATGATCACACCTGCAAATTGAAAATGATCTAGTACAGGGTAAGGTGAACTGGGCTCTGTGAATGGGCCGCCACTTAACACCATCACTCACAATTACTAGAACATTTCTTCCTTGTCACCAACTCTATTTCTTGAACTTGGACTTGGGAACCCCAGCTTAGGACACTTGCCAGAATCTTTTTGTTTGCAGAACATTCCCATCTCCTCACTACTATGCTGAAGCTAGCACTATCTCCAGTCATGGACAACCCTGCATATTTTACTACCACACTCATATTTTAATTTTTTAAATTTCACTTATTTTTATTTTATGTATATGAGTGTTTTGCCTGCATGTATGTAAGTGCATCACAAGTGCACAATACCTGCGGAAGCCAGTGAGAGGGCGTGGATTCCCTGGAACTGGAGTATGGTCAGCTGTTTGCCACTATGTGGATGCTGGGAACTGAACCCAGGTCTTCTGCAAGAGCAGCCAGTGCTCTTAACAACTGAGCCATCTCACCAGCCCTCCCATTACTCATTTATTTAAAATAGGACACCTGCTGACCCAAGTCTGTAACTTATAAAGAGTCTCAGGTGAGCTCCATGATTGCTTCTTTGCTATTCCCCTTTTCTTTTCCGAACAGCTATGGCTCATGGCAGATTGTCTTCTTCATTCCTGTCCACTGCTCCTTAGGAAAGACCTTCTGCTTCCTGATCTGGTCCAGGGGTCTTAATGTGAAACTTCTGTCATTATAAAGGTTCTCAAGAAGCTGTTTTCTTTCCTATTTTCATCTTTATACACTGTATCATTTCCCATCAGATTCAGTTTACTGAACCCTGAAGCACTGCAATGCCATTCTTGAATTTCTAACACCCACCCATGGCCTAAGGCTCCTCATTTTGATACAAGAGCACACCACTGCCTTCTGGGTCAGGAACCCAGTCCTGTATCTGCCTGTTCTTAACAAAAGCATTTCACACATCTACCACAGCTCAGTAGTTCCTTGGCTGAAAATGTAGTTCACCCCTAAAAGTAGTTTTTTTGTTAACCCTGCTTACCCACAGGAGCATGACACACAGAGCAAAAGCCAGGAATCCTAAACAGCTAAATATCCTTAATAATAATAATATAATAATAATATATAGTATTATAATATAATCCTACACAATAATGCCTTGCTCCCAATGCCAGCAACATCTCCAGCAAAAAGTTACCTAATCCTCACCTTGCAGCAACTTCCATTCTACCAGGCAGGGGATTAAATTAATGAAGATTTGGAAGGTAATCTGTGATTCCACCTAACTAGGCATGGGTTAGAAACGACTTATAACACATCTGAGGTTCCTCAAAGTATCCAATACAAACCAAACTATTGCTAGTGGTTTTCTCGGAAGAACAGGACTGAGCCGGGATAACTAGAAACAAGGATACTTATCGTATCAAATTCTACTCTCTGTTTTTGGGTTAAATGTCAATCATTAAAAAAAGCAAATTTCAAAGGTCAAACCATTATTCGACAAAGACATTCAGCACAGAACAGTAGTACGGAACATACCTGATGGCATCTTTGCTGGAAGCTTTTATTATCTCTGTTGCAGAAGGAACACCCACCCGTTTAAATTTAATTCCCTAGAAGAAAACAAACCATAATTTAATATGCAATGGCTGTCAATTGTTTCCACTGAGATTAGTAATGTATTTTTTAGAACCACCAAATATGTATTTATTGCAAGAAAAATTAAAACAAGAAATAAGCTTTTAGCTTGACAGTGGTCCATGACTGTGCTTCTAGTACTCTGGAAGCTGAAACAGGAAGATTCTGAGTACAAGGACAGCCTAGGCTACATAGTAAGATGTTGTCTCAGAAAATCAAACCAACATTTATTTCTGAAGCGCACAGAAGACACAGAGGCAGCTTAAGGAGCTCCTGGAGAGCAGGCACAACATCCTCCCACTGCTCCTGTGTCATGTGATTATGGTCCATTGTTAGCCATGAAACTGACATTGCTAGATCAAAAATCACTGAAATCACAGGAACTCCATGCCTACCTTTCCTGGTTTCCAATGCCTTCATGGTTCTAAGGAGTTATTTTTTTTCCCATTTTTAATTTATTTCTTAAGACAGTCTCCTCACAATTTCCAGAGAGAAAATTCAAAAGGAACAGACTTGGTTTCAAACACACAAATAGTGGTTGGAACTGCAAGCACAGCCAAGGCCACTGTCACAGAACACCAGCCACTCCAGGGCACTGAAGCATTCCTGGAGAATAGACATGCTTTCTTTTCTCCCACTAGGATGTTCTCTATAAGCCACTGTTCTTTGTCATACTTTCCATGTAGAAAATATAAAAAAGTCCCTGCTCACAGTTGGAGTAGGCCTCCCGATTCCCAGCCAGAGAAAAAGATTAGAGGCCACATTCCTCTTAGCCACGCACCCTCCACTCCAGGCCTCATGCTCTACCTCTCTATTCTTGGCATGGCAGTCATCCAGTGCAACCTGAAAGGCCACAGGAAGGGGTCAAGCGCTACTTCCTAGGGGAATTGCCTACAGAAATGATCAATTCCATGAAGACATTTAGACTCTCCTTCCCCTTTATCTTTTTGTGTTATTATTATATCATCATCATCATCATCATCATCATCTTTCAGTCTCATTGTTTAAGACAGGGTCTCCCTATAGCCTCTGAAACTCGCTATGTAGACCAGACTGGCCTCAAACTCAAGAGATCTGCCTGCCTCTGCTTCCCTAGTGCCCAGTTTGTGTTGTTCTTTTTAAAAAAGAAAGGGTCTCAATACATAGCTCAGGCTGCCTCAGACTTGTGATCTTCTGGCCTCGGCATGCACTGTCACAGACCACACTCCCCTTCTGATGCTCCCTCCTGGAATCCCTTTGGTTTGTGAGCTGCTCCCACCCTTCCTGACCTGTGTAAACATTTCTGGTTTTATATTATTTTCTTTAAGAAAAAAAATCTCTCTTTCAAACATAAGAAATATACATTACTGTTTCAAATGCAAAGTTACTTTAATGGGCCAATACCACAGAATAGCACACAAACATGTATGTAACAAGCTCTCAGTCACAGACACATAATTGGAAACCTTAAAATTAGTCAGTAAAAGCTGAAAATTAGGAAAACCATTTTACCGCTTTCTGTTCCACTTGTGCTAACTGATATTCTTCCTTGTGCTGATAAAAGCAGATGCAAACCCCTGTCCTTCCGGCTCTACCCGTCCGGCCAGAGCGATGAATGTAGGACTCCACATCCTACAGAAATGAAATCAAACACTATGAGAAAACCTCTGAGACTGAGGTCAGTGCCCTGTGCACAATTACAGAGGGCATGTGTAATTCCAGTTTTCAAGTAGCTATAGTGAAAGTTTTAAAAGTTGGGGCTCTGGGGCTGGAGGTATGGCTCAGCAGTTAAGAACACTGGCTGTTCTTGCAGAATAACTGGGTTAGAATTCCAGCACCCACATGGCAGCTAACAACTGTCTACAACTCCAGTACCAGGGGAATGATGGCTTCTGTCCTCTGTGGGTATTACACAACATGGGTGCACTTTTATACATGTAGGCAATATACGCATACACATAAAGATAAAATAAAGTTGGGGCTAGAGAGATGGCTCAGTGGCTAAGAGTACTAGCTGCTCTTGCAGAGTACCTGCATTTGGATCCCAGCACCCACATGATGACTAACAACTATCTGTAATTCCAATTCCAGGGGATCTGATGCCATCTTCTGACCTCCTCAGGCATTGCACAACACGGGTACACTTATATACATGCAGGCAATACACTCATACACATAAAGTAAAAATAATAAAATATTCTTAAGGGGCTGGAGAGATGGCTCAAGAGGTTTTAGAGCCCAGGCTGCTCTTGCAGAGGACCCAGATTTGATTCCCAGCACCCACATGGTGGCTGAGGACCATCCTTAACTCCTGTTCCAGGGGAATCTGACACCCTCTTCTGATCTCCTCAGCACTACACAACACGAGTGCACTCATATACATGCAGGCAATACAATAATACACGTAAAATAAAAAATATTTAAAAATATATGTTTAAGTTTCAGAATTTTTTTTGGTCTTTTTGAGACAGGGTCTCCCTGTAGCCCCAGCTGTCCTAGAACTCACTATGTAGACCAGGCTGGCCTTGAACTCACAGAGATCCGCCTGCCTCTGCCTCCCAAGTGCTGGGATTAAAGGCATGGGCCACCATGCCCGGCCCTAGAAGTTAATTTTAATAACACATCTTATTTAGTTCTAGATACTCAAATTTTTAACAAAAATTAGTTTACAAGGTAGGTTTCTATTCACAACAGCAATATTTGTGACTCAACCTGGATGTCCTTCAACAATGAAAGGATAAGGAAAATGTGGCACTAATACACAAAAGAATTTATCCAGCTACCAAAAAAACAAGAAGAAATAATGATGCGTTCTTTCCTGCCAGTCTTCCAAATCCAAAGTACATAATGAAAACTATAAATTTAAGTAAAAAGCCAGGCATGAGGTCTGGCCTTTAATCCCAGCATTACTTATTTACTTAGAGACAGGGTCTCAATAGGAGACCCACCTGGCTGGCCTTGAACTCACAGAGATCTGCCCCTGAGTGCTGAGATTTAAGGCATGCACCACCAGGCCCAGCAGAGGGGTCTCAAGACAAGGTCTCACAGAGCCAGCCCTTAGTGGCCTTGAGTTCCTATACCTATTGCCTCTACCTAATAAGTTCATTTTAAAAATCAGCCTTAGTACCTTAGCCATCAGCTATTATGATTACATAAAAGTCAATGAAGTAACTTTTAATATCCTAAGGAAACAAAAGTATTAATATTAAAAACAACAAAAACCTCACCTTTGGTGGACAGCTTTGTACAACTAAATCAACCTCAGGGATGTCCAACCCACGTGCAGCAACATTAGTTGCCACCAAAACACCGAAATTGCCATTTCGGAAGCCTTTCAAGGTGATTTCCCTTTGCTTCTGTGGAATGTCACCATGTAAGGATTGGGCATCCTGTCAAAGAGAAAACCAGCCTAAGAAAAATCATCTAACACATTCGCAAACGAACCTGTGGGGTCATACTGTGATGATACCAATGCTGGAAACATTACAAAGTGGGAAATGGGTCCATTCTTACATGGAAAAACCTCCAATTTATTTGCATCTCCCCAGCCACTAAATCAACTGTAACTATAGTATGCAAGCTTGAGACTACCACCTCAGAGTGACCGTACCACCTACTTTTGTCACTGTAGCCCTACATTTGAAGCCCCATTCTCCACCTGTGAGGCAGGACTGACAGATTAGGTATGCTGACACATACCCTGACCATGAGAAGCTTCCTTTCATTTCTGTAACATAAACTGAAAGCCACTGGGTGACTTGACACTGAGAGCAGACAGGTCCAAGGTGATGACTGGCCCCAGCTTTGTGGGCATGATGAGGACCAACCTGCTTTATGCATGTATTCTGTGACAGCTCCTGGGCTTCTTTCTTGGTTTCACAGAAGATGATGGTGCGCCCTTGATGGCCACTGTATACTCGAATCACATCCCCAATAACTGCTGCCCTCTCGCTCCAGTGACACTTAATAGCTAGATGCTTTTAAGAGAAGAAGCAACATTTAGCAACTTTGCTAGAGCCTGACAAGTATCTTCTCAACTCTTAATGGCTAATGTTTTGGTACAGGAAGTTACTGTGCAGGCCTTACAGAGCTGTGTGCTGCCAACACTGCTTAGAGGGAAAAGAATGAAACTAAGTAATTCATCAAAGAAAAGAGCAACATGGTCTGTCCGCCAGCCTCTCTTTTCTCCAAAGGGCATCTGGCTTCTTTATGTTCTAAAGTAATCAGAAAACAGAAAAAGAAGTGCTATTCTCCAGATTCCTGCAGGAAACCAAGTAATTGACAAGAAATATCTGCATATGTTATGATTCCTTCAATCCACTTAAAAATACAATCTGTAATCGGTTACTGTACAGGCCTGTTCTTGGGTGAAATGAATTCATCTAGGTACCGGAGCCTAAGATGAAAACAGATGAAGCATTAGATTTCTCTACTGCCCTCTAGAAGCTAAATTCTAAGTGTAATTTCTTTGTTTACTAATTCAGAGACAATTATGTTCCAAATGATTCTGAAATTAATGATGAAATTCAGAAAACACAGACACCATACACAAAAGAGATACATATTTACTTGGCTCTTCATATGGATTTCATACTCAACTGGGAAAAAAAGCTTGCATTTGCTAGTCTTAATACTATCAGACAGGAAACAAGACAATTTAATACTAATTCCGGCAACTAAATGAATCATTTACCTCCACAGTTATGGCTGTTTTCTGAGTCTTTTTACCAATCAGGTCCACCTGTTCATATGTAGATTTCATGTATTTCTTAGCAACATTAAATACCCAATGAGGGCAAGTTGCAGAGAAAAGCAATGTTTGGGGATTGTCTTCAGAATCTTGGGGGAAAAAAAAGTCAGTATGAATCATCCAAACAAGCCTACATTCTACTCCGCCACACCTAGTACTGCCAGGAGCCACCAATATTCACCAGACCAGTGGTGGCCAGCCATGCATTGAGGACACAAAAATGAAAGACCCCCAATAGACAAAGAAAGACTAAGAAATAATGTTTATCATAAAGAATCACTGAAGTAATAATACTTTGTTTTCTAATCTTTGCCCTTTCTGAATCACAAATGAAATCTGTCCAATATAGGAGATCCACCAACTGGATTCCAGGGGTCCAGTGACCAACCAGCATAAATCTCTAAATTAAATAACCTGTAACAAAACCCACAGCAGGTTAGTATTTTACAAATCTACAATTCCAGGGCTGGGGTGTGACTCAGTAGTAGAGAAGTTGCCCATCATGTATAAAACTTTCAGTTCGATCCTCAGCACTGTCCAAAGAAAATCTAATTTGTTCTTTAGAGCTCAGCCACTATTTTTTTTATCACCTGCACTTAGGAGAACACTGATTCATACATTCCAAATGGCAGTGCAAGCTGCAAGAACTCAATCAGTAGTTTTACTTAGGGAAATCTGTCCTACAAAACCAACTCTAGATACTGAGGAAATCTGCACAAAAGCAACTGTAAACAAAATTATTTATATGGAATAAAAAAGGGATAGCTGGTAGAATTAAATCATGGCCAATCACTTCATGAAGACTGAATATATGAAGTGATTTATAACTAACACACATACCCCACAGGACATCAGGAATATCCTGAAAGCTGTTAGAACAACACACCAAGCTGGTAGAATGAGATTTTTTTCCTTTACTCTCCCAAGCTTTCACCATTATAGTTAAGTAACAAATCATGACTTTAAAAATTTCAAGTTTTCCTAAATAAGTTCCCTTAATTTCCCAATGCTCAATTTGTCTCCTGGAAGACTATTTCATTACTACCCTTTCATCAGTTCCTGAAATCAGGGTTTACCTTTCTTGTACGCAACACACAAAATCTCTTCCACTTGATCAGCAAACCCCATATCCAACATCTGGTCGACCTCATCCAGGACAACATGCTTGAGCTTGCTAAGGTCCAGCTTGCCATTCTGCAGGTGATCTTTGATGCGACCTGGTGTCCCAACCAGAATATCAATCCCGTTCCGCATCCGTTCAACTACCAAGAAGAATATCAATAAAAAGATCTGCTGTGTTTAAGATAATTCCTTTCATCAGCCTGGGCATCCATTCAAGTTTTCTAACCTTCAAAGTAATGCATAATTGATAAAGGACAACATGTAAGGTACTCCTAATCCAGTGGAGAAACATCTGAGAAGTGACAGTCCAGTGTCATACCTGACAGGAAAATGTTCGACAGGGTACCCCAAGAAAGAAATCACTTTTAGCTTGGCTAGCAGAAAATGTCAAAATTTCAGACCCTAAGAACAATCTTAAGAGAAATTCGTTTTTAGTGTTTTTGCATCAGGGTCTTGATTTGTAGCCCAGATTGCCTTGAATTCACAGTCCTCCTGCCCTATGCCCTAAGTGCACCACCATGTGTGGCTGAGAAACAGGAATTTTCTGTGAAGTAAGCAGAATATGAGAGCGCCGGGCGTGGTAGTGCATGCCTTTAATCCCAGCACTCAGGTGGCAGAGGCAGGCGGATCTCTGTGAGTTCAAGGCCAGCCTGGTCTCCATAGCGAATCCAGGCCAGCTAGGGCTACAGGGAGACCCTGTCTCAAAAAGACCAAAAATAAAAAAATAAGAGAGCACAACAGGGTGAACATTCTAGGGAGGTGCAGAGACACTGAATAGGGAGGCAGGGAGAAGTATGCTGTGACTGGGATGAGATGGTAATAATGAAGCTTTTTTTTAAAAAAAGTGTTTTTAATGTGTATGAGTGTTTTGCCTGCATGTATGCAAGTAGATGCATGTTGTGCAAAGCCTGCAGCAGCCAGAAGAGGGCGTTGGATCCCCTGAAACTGGAGTTGTGGATAGCTGTTAGCTGCCATGTGGGTGCTGGAAATCAAATTCAGGTCCTCTGGAAAAGTAGCCAGTACACTAACCACTGAGCCACCTGTCCAGCCCGAGGCTTTTTCAAAAAACTGAACTGCCAATGCAGTCTAGGGATCATACCACGCACCTTACATACATTATTTAATTCAATCCTCACAAATAGAAAACCTGAACACAATGTCACATAATTACTATGTGAGTAGTCAGGATTCAAATCAAACCTTAGTTCTACTGATGAATAATTAGCTTTGTATGCCTTAGATCCTCCCCCTCAGCAAGGTCCTGACTGCAAAGTGACAGAGTGGACCAGGGTCAGCAACATTAGCCACTATCCACATGGGAAGAGCTTGCTTAGAGCAACAAACAAGCATGCACAGGAAGAGAAACTGACACACTGGATTCTGTCCTGCTGCAGTCTAGGTAAATACCAACACCAAAACATCCTAGGAGCCAGCTAGGAGTGGCAGCATACACCTTTATCACAGGAGGGAGAGGCAGGTGGATCTGAGATGGGAGTCCAGCCTGTTCTACATTAAAAAAAAGGGGGGGGGGCAATCCTGTCTATTGACTAGAAAAGGTAAAGATCAGACATCAAGTGGGGGAGGCATCCATTCAGAACACCAGAACTACAGGCAGCTTCCTCCCCAGCTTTTGAATTTACTTACTTTGACCGCCATATGGAGTCCCACCATAAAAACAAGCCACGGACAGCTTCTTCGTGATGTCACTGAAGTCTCTGCTTACTTGATTTGCTAATTCTCTTGTAGGTGCGAGAACCAGCACCTGAAAGAAAAACAGACTGAACTCAAAGTACCGTGCAATAATTATTTCTTAGCCAATCCAGAATTCACTACCATGTTCTGCTCACCCAACTCATCTTGACATATTTTCAAAACATCTATTATGTGCTTTGGAACATTCTACATGGACAGGGCCACTAATAGAGTATCCAACAAATATTCTGAAAGACTATGATCATACCAGTCAGAAGTAGGTATCCACATACATGATGTTCTAAGAGGGTTGCAAGGAGTATGGAGCAGCATTGCAGGGAAATGACCAAGGCAAGGAGATATACTGAGAATGATAGCTAGTACCTCTATTTTATGTGTGCCTGAGCAACCAAGCACTTTCTATGCATTATTCTAATTTAATACAATAATCTTTGAGAAACAGATATTAAAAGGTGAATGACTAAAAGCAAAAGAAAGGCTGGACTTAAGCAAACCTGGATTTAAGGAGGCCAGCTCCAAAACTTGTAGAAAAGCTCCCCTAATTAAAAACACCCATTCTGCTAAGCATAGAGGTGCATGGTTTTTTGGGTTTTTTTTTTTGTTTTTTTTTTTTTTTTGGTCTTTTTGAGATAGGTTCTCCCTGTAGCTCCAGCTGGCCTGGAATTCACTATGTAGACCAGGATGGCCTTGAACACACAGAGACAGTCTGCCTCTGCCCAGCGATGCCTTTAATTCTAGCACTCCAGAAACAGAGGGAGGTGAATCTCTGTGAGATGGAGGCCAGACTCCACAGAGAGTTCTAGGTCAGCTGGGGCTACATAGCAAGTTCTGGGCCAGCCAGTGCTACATTGTGAGATCCTGTCTCAAAACAAACGACCACAGGGCTGGAGAGATGACTCAGTGGTTAAGAACACTGACTGTTCTTGCAAAAGACCCGGGTTTGAATCCCAGCACCCACATGGCAGCTAACAACTGTCCGTAACTCCAGTCCCAGGAGATCTGACAGCCTCTTCTGTACTCCATGGGCACTGCACGACACAGGTACACTTACCTACATGCAGGCAATACAGGCATACACAGAAAATAAAATAAATATATTTTTTAAAAAGTTAAAAAAAAAAACAAAACACCATTCACTCTGCCTATGCAAAAATAAAGACACTGGGGCTGGAGAGATGGTTCAGCGGTTAGGAGAACTGGCTGTTATTACAGAGGACCTGCGTTCGTCACCAACATGATGCCTAACAACAGTCCGTAACTCCAGTTCCAGGGGGTCCAATGCCTTCTTCTGGCCTCCGCAGGCACTGCACTCATTGAAACATTTACATACAAGCAGGCAAAACACTCATACACATAAAAGAATCAACCCAGTTTATTTCAGATAGATTCAGGGAGCACAGGAAGAACCTTAGGGGGAACTCACAACGAAACAGGACACGTAAACCAGGCCCAGATGTTCTTCCTGGGTTCAGTTTAAGACAGTTACCTGGGGTGCTCTGCCTCTCTTCCTGTCCTGCAGCCCACCCTGAAGTTTCTCAATCAAGGGGATGGCAAAGGAGAATGTCTTCCCAGTTCCTGTCCGTGCCTGGGCAATTAAATCTTTCCCACTGTACACATGGTGGAATGTTTTCGCTTGTATAGGAAATAGGAAGTTCACCCCACGAGCTGTGAACAAATCAACCATGTTATCTGCCATTGTCTTTGTTTTCAGTGCTGAGGAGCAAATCCAGAGGCTTTGTGCACACACTAAACATAACATTAATCCCTAGCTCCACTTTCCACCCTGACATTCTGTTTTAAAAAACCAACTACAGCCAAGGACTGAAACACATTGATGCTTCTGGTCCTGGAGAATGGAGTTCTACCTTGCCAACATCTACAAAATCAGGTTCAAATATATTTCAAATAGTGAAGAATATGCCACACTGAAAAATGTTACCCAACTTTTAATTATACTTTTAATGTGATTATTTGTCATAAAATCTCATCAGTAAGCCCATCTGAACCTGGAAATCCGATGCTTTGCATTCTAGACTGTTCTTTGCCTGATTACTGAAGAACCACCTAGGGAAGCATCTGGAACTACCTAGGCAGTTCAGCAGCAGTCCAACAAGATTTGCCACAGGTGCAGGAGGATAAAAAGGAAAACAGTAAACAGCTTTAATGTCTCAGCACCATCAGTCATCACACTTCTGAATAGAAATTAAATTTCAATCACTTCATCAAACCAGTAACATCCTATCTAGATACACAGGTCTACTCCATTGTATAGCCGTGTATACTGACCTATAGCAAGTATAGGTCCTCCTTTGCCTCAATAAAAAAAAAAAAAAAAGAGTGCTTGCCAGGGGTGGTCAAAAGAGTGCTTCCAAATTATATGCACTAGCATTATATGATATTCAAGAATATTACCTTTGAGAAGCTTAACAGTCTCTTCAGATATGGGAAAATTAGAGAAAGCGCCTTCTTTTTGTTCCGCAGGTATTTCCTGCCAAAGTAAAAGACCACAGAAATGAGTACCTCACATGCGATTAATACAGGAAGCCTTCTGAGACCCTATTCTGAAACAGCTATCTTTGGGCCTGAGAGATGGCCCAGTGGGTAGACACTTGCTCTCAAGCCTGACAAACTGAATTTGATCCCCAGAACCGACATGGTAGAACTGACTTACACACAAGTTGTTCAACCTCCACACATGTGCCATGACACATGAACAAACTACGCCATGAATAATTGTTGCTGGGTGTGATGGTGCACATCTTTAATCCCAGCACTCAAGGCAGAGACAGGCAGATCACTGAGAGGCCAGCCTGGTCGACACAGTGAGTATCAGTGAGAGCCTGTCTCAAAAAAAAAAAAGAAAGAAAGAAATAACTGGTGGGGTGGGTTCTAAACACTATGCAAGCCTGACAACCAGAAATTGATCAGCAAAACCCATGGGGGGAAGGAGGCAAAAAAAAAAAAAAAAAATCAATCCCCTAAAGTTTCCTCTGGCCTCCAGATACACTCCTATATACACATCCTACCCCAGAAAAGAGAATGGTTACCCAGAAGTGTTCTTTAGGATCTGATTTAAGGACAAACACTCAAAATATTTAATAGAAATAGAAGAGTAAGTGAATTTCTAAACTTTACATGTATTACATAGTGTTGAAAATTAAATATGCAGCTACTTATATTGAAAAATACTTTATATAAATATGGATAAGGCAAAATACAATACTACCAATGATATAACCTTAACCTGATTTTTAAAAAATTATTTTAATTTTACGTGTAAGCATGTATTGCTTGCACATAGGTAAGTGCACCCGTGTCCTGCAATGCCTGTGGAGGACAGAAGAGATTGTTGGATCCCCTAGAACTGGAGTTACGGACACTTATTAGCTGCCATGTGGGTGCTGGGATTTGAATCTGGGTCTTCTGCAAGAACAGTCAGTATTCTTAACTGCTGAGCCATCTCTCCAGCACCCTTAACCTGATTTTTTAAAGTTGTATATACACATTACTATAAGGAAGCGTCAAAATTTAACACCAGTTACCTCTGTACCTGGAAAGTGCTTACTATTTTTGGAATGAGGGACTGCTAAAGTTAGAGAGGACTTTTATCTTTTAGGTAAAATTTCCAATTCTCTTGATTTTTTTTTTTTTATACTTAGGGGAAAACTGCACATGTTGTTCAGGATCTAAGTCAAAGAGAGACTTTTAGAATTAGAATTTGTCTTTCTTTCTTGAGATAGGATCTCCCTGTATAGTCCCAGGCTGGCCTGGGCTTCCAGATTCTTCTGCCTCAGCCTCCTGGGTGCTGGGATGACAGGTATGACTGAATCCACCTAGCCATGGTCGTCTTTCCTGACTGGGTTTCTGGACAATAACAGAATCTAAGTCAGAGTGAATATTTAATTCTGTTCAGATCAACACAAGTAATTTAATAGCCTAAAGAACCAAGAAAAGGGGGCTGGAGAGATAGCACAGTGGTGAAGGTTCAGTTCCCATCACCCACATGGCAGCTAACATCCATCCATAACTCTAGTTCTGGGGGATCTGATGCCTTCTTCTGACCTCTTTAGGCATTGCACAACATGGGTGCACTTACATACATACATGCAAGTAGTACACTCATAAATAAAATAAAAATAATAAAACATTAAAAGGGGGGGGCTGGAGAGATGGTTCAGTGATTAAGAGCACTGGCTGCTCTTGCAGAGGACCTAGGTTTGATTCCCAGCACCCACATGGTATCTAATATCCATCCATAACTCCAGTTCCAGAGGAATCCAATGCCTTCTGACCTCCACAGGCAATGCATGATATGGGTGCACAAACATACATGCACGCATACACATAAAATAAAATTTTGGTGGTTTCACTGAATCCTAATTTGGTGACAGAGAGACCCTGGGTTCCAGTTACATGGGTCTAACTCGGGTCGAATGCTCCTGTTGCTTTCTGACTTGCAAGTAAGTAGATCAAGACTTTCCCTAAGCTTGAACAGACCAACTTATTTGTAAACAAAGATTCTTGATGCAATTTTTAGTAGGAATTCCCACCCTCAGCTCCTCACCCTCCCCAGGAGGTCCAAACATACCAAATTCCCTTCTACTGTTAAGGTATACATGCACAAGGCCTTGGTTCAATCCCTATCACCAAAAGAATTGTAAATGTTTAAAAAGTACATGCACATTAACTATTTTTCTGAAACAAGAAAATATGCAGTCTATTCAAGTACCACTTTGCCAACCACTGATGATTCAGTGTGTAATGGCACTTGCCACCAAGCCTGAAGACCCAAGTTCAAGTCCCAGGACCCACAGGTAGAAGGGCAGCCACACAATAAATAAAATTTTTAAATTAAAAATAAAGCGAAGCGTGGTGGTGCACACCTTTAATCCCAGCTCTCTGGAGGCAGAGGCAGATGGATCTCTGTGCCATCAAACCCAGCCTGGTCTCCACAGCAAGTTCCAGGCCAGCTGAGGCTACAGGGAGACCCTGTCTCAAAAAGACCAAATTAAAAATGAGAAAGTAAAATGCAATTTCACCTGCTCTGTCTCGCTACTGCTCTCACCACCGGTCACTCCATTGGCACCGGAGTCCAACTCGGAATGGGATAACCCATTCTTCAATTTGGGGCTTTTCTCTCCAATGTCTCCATTAGAGTCTTTTCCTTTCTTCATCTTCTTGGGCTTTGGAGCGTCTGTGTCTTCTTCAGAAGGTTCCTGGGTTTCTATTTCTTTGGTTTTAGCAGAGACAGCCTTCTTCTCAGCAGGCTCCTTTTTCTTCTTGGCAGGTTTGGTTTGGGGAGCAGCCATGTCATCCTGAGCTGGCTCCTCTTGCTTTCTGGTCTTTTTGGATTTAGGAGAATTCATGTCATCTTCAGAAGGCCCTGCTTTCTTTCTACCTGTCTTAGCTTTCGGGGGGACAGTTTCTTCCACTGCTTCTCTTGATTCTTCAGCCTTCTTAGATTTTGGCTTCTCTTTTCTAGCTTTCTAAAAAATTAATAAAGATGACACAAACACTGAATAAAGTCATTATACATTTGTGTGATCCACTAAATCTACTAATTCTAGATTATTTCAAGATATTTGTATTATGAAAAACACAATTTTGGGCACCTCAGCATTGTAGTTTCACCTTGCAACGAATGAGAAGCCCACAGTATGCTTTCTAATACCATTTCTTAGCTACACGGAAATAAACGTGAACTTAAAACACAAAATTTTCACATTACTGAGAACTTGTTCCAATTAGGAGTTGTAGCCACCCTATTAAATGGAATCTGTCTAAAACAGTTTCAGGCAATTCCAGAAGTATACAACAGTGTGATCATAAGCTAAATTCTACCTCCTTGGGACCTCAGACCTGGCCTCTACTCTCAAATCATAGCTTATGAGATGGCCCAAGGTTTTATCCTAGACATTACAAAACTCATTTTAAAAAAAAGTAATGGGTCGGGGCTGGAGAGATGGCTCAGCAGTTAAGAACACTGATTGTTCTTGCAAAAGACCCGGATTCAAATCCCAGCACCCACATGGCAGCTAACAACTGTCCGTTAACTCCAGTTCCAGGGGATCTGACAGCCTCTTCTGTCCTTCATGGGCACTGCGTACACTTACCTACATGCAGGCAATACACGCATACACATAAAATAAAAATAAAATATATTTTTTTAAATTGATGGTTTACTAGTAGTATCTCTGCCACATTACTATGAACAGATAACTGAAAAACAGGCTAGTCTCTCCCTAAAACCTGATTTCTTTCAACCCTTGTTCAACTAAACAGAGTGGGTTTCTTCACCCAGGAAGGTGAGTTCACAAACGAAAAGGAGCACCATCATGTCCCTCTTCCCTTGGGCATCCCACAATAGAAGACACAGGCGAAGAAAGTGAGGAACACGGATTCCCCACCCACCTGCTGCTAACCAGTCTGTGCTCCGTGCACTTCCCAGCAGGCCACACTATATTGCTGTCTTAAGAGTTTTCCATCCCCAAACCCCAGAGACAGAAAGGATGCATACGGGGACAGCCCCCCCTCCCCCAACTTTAATCATCAGACTGTCACAAGTTAAATCAGTAAGAAAGCAAAAGCCAAGAATCAGACAAGACAGTCACTTGAGTGCTCACTAAGCTCCCCAATATAAGAAATATGTTGATATTTCAACTCCAATTCCACGGGAGATCTGAACAACGAATACTAGGATTTGAATCACTTCATTTTCTTAAAACTTTTTACAGGGAAAAACTACATCTGACTTAGTGCGGAGGGATGGAGGCACGGGATGTCACTACAGATGACGCTGGTGCGCTGGTCCAAAGCTTCAGTCCCCACGCGGACTTAGCCCTAACTCCCTTCCGCATGCTCTCGCCAGGCCAACAGCGTGGGGCTGGGTGGTGAGCGCGCGCCGGGTCCCGAGGCCACGTGGGCTCCCGGCCTCTCTGGGTGTCAAATGGACCGGTGGCGGAGGAGCCCACGCCGTCCCGGGCGCCTCGCGCCTCCACGCGGGGCGCCAACCATAGGTGCCGGGGCTCCGCGTGAGCAACCCCGAAGCGAGCCACGCGTCCCGGCCCGGCCCCGCGCGGTCCCAGCCCCGGCCCCGGCAGACCCCGCGGCATCACCTTGTCGCTCTGCTTCGGCAGCGTCTCCATGCTTTCCTCTGCCGCGTCCGACCCCAGCCTGGACTCGCTGCGAAGTTTTCCCGGCATCACTCAGCACGAACTATCCAGGCCTACCGGTCTCCTCAACCGCGTGCGAGGTAAGAGAGAGGACCGCCTTCGAGCCCACCCTGCTGTGCGTCACTTCTGCCACGGAACACTTCCGGCGGAAGCAGCATGCACCCGGAAGGCCGCCGCTTAGTTCGTAGATGGTGAGGACAACCTCTGCTGGGAAGCACCCGCGGACTGGGGAACCCGGGACCTAGGTTACCCCCATCCCCGGTGCTCATTCGAGCGCTGCCTAGATTCCCACCAGCCCTGACGGACGAGGGTCTAGTTTCCTTTGTTTGCAAAAAACAAAAGAGGGTCTCGGGCTGGAGAGATGGCTGGCTGAGCGGTTCAAAAGCCCTGGCTGCGCTTGCAGACGATCGGGGTTCGATTTCCAGCACCCACATGACGGCTTACAACCGTCCTAACTCCAGTTCTAGGGGTCAACGCGGGCATGGCATGACACGGGTGCACTACACACATGCAGGCAATGCACTCATACACATTTTTTTAAAAAACTTTTTAAAACGATCTCAGACTGGATGACGACCTCCTCCTGCCTCAGATTCCCAAGTGCTGGGGTTACAAGGCGTGGGCCACCAGCCATCTTCCAGAGGCTTTGTGTGTGTGTGTGTGTGTGTGTGTGTGTGTGTGTGTGTGTGTGTGCCGTTTTGAGACAGGGTCTCCCTGCAGCCCCAGCTTTCCTGGAACTATGTAGACCACACTGGCCTTGAACTCACAAAGATCTCTATGTAGGCCAGCTTGGCGTTGAACTCAAATCTGCCTTCCTCTGCCTCCCCAGTGGTGGAACTACAGGCGTGCACCACCAATGCCGGGCTCTAGAGGCTTTTGAATGGCATCTTTTCACCACCACCAGTCATGGTGTGTGTGTGTGCGTATTCTTAATCATTTGTAGAAAAACCTGCTAAGAGGTAGCAGCTAACCCCAGAAGCTTGAGTATGAGCTAGAAATCGGGGCCAGTGAGAGAGCTCCAGGAGCAGAGGCGTTTGCTGTGCAAGCCTGGCAATCTGAGTTTGAGAACCGCAGAAAGGTGGACCGAGAACCACAGAGCAGTTGTCCTCTGAGCTCCAGTTGTGCGCCATGGCACCAGGCTACGTGTGCACATCATGGGCATGAACACAAAATAACTTTTTAAAAATTCAGAAAGGTCTGGTCATTTTTTTACATGTGCACTTAAAAGCTTCCAGAGCATTCTTCCTGTGAAATGTGTAAAACAGAACTAGAAATCATTAGCCTCATCCTCAGTCGTTATGGACTGATGAAAGAGACCCGTGTCACTGGTTTTGAAGGTACACCCAGCATCTAAAGGGGCCTTGAGACCAGGAGTGGTCTCCGGTGATGTGAAAGTCAAACAGTAACTACTTCAAGGAGAGAAGGAAAAGTAGCCCAATTGATCAATGACAATTTTTTTTTGTTTTTATGTGTATGTTTTGTCTGCATGTATGTAAGTGCACCCATGTCATACAGTGCACACAGGGGCCATAAGAGGGTGTTGCAGCCCCTGGAACTAGAGTTACAGGTGGTTGTGAGCCACCATGGGAGTGCTGGGAACCAAACCTGGGTCCTCCGAAGAGCAGCTAGTGCTCTTAACCACTGAGTCATCTCCCCAGCTCCAGTGACAGTATTTTCAAGCTGCTTCTGAAGAACCAGTGACCCAAAGCATTGGGGGACAGTTTAACCATAGTTTGAAAAATTATAGTGTCACCTCGCTTTGAAAAACTTCCTTTTAACTATTTGATCTGTGATTGGACAATACATCTGAACTAGAGTTTCTCCTGTATGAAATGAGGATAACAAAACAAAACCACTCTCATGTGAGAATATGAAACAAGCTAATGGAAAGGGGTTAGCAGTGCCTGCCACATAGAGCACAAGAAGGGCTACTGAAATGTTTGAGTGTTGTAAACACTTGAAAAGACAATTCAAAATACTACATTTATGACAAAGAAATACTGCTTTACTTCAGTATCTCAAAACTATTGTGTGGGTATGTGTGCCACTGCATGCTTATGGAGGTCAGTGGATAACTTATATAGTCCATTTTATTGAGTCCGTATTCTTCTTCCACCTCTACGTGGGTTCCAGGGATGGAACTCAGGTTGTTAGGCTTGCATCATTAGACAGCAAGCACCTGTATCCCCTGAGCCATCTCACAGCCCCACCCCCAAGAAATACATATAATTTGTGGGGAGGGAGGAGACACAGGGTCTCCCTGTAGCTCCAGCTGGCCTGGAACTCACTAGGTAGACAAGGTTGGCTTCAATTACAGATCCACTTGCCTCTGCCTCCCAAATGCTGTGATTAAAGGCATACACCTCCATGCCTAGCATTTAAGTTTTTTGTGTAAGAGTGTTTTGCTTGTATGTATATAGGCGCACCAGAAGACGGCAGTGGGTCCTTGAAACTGGACTTACAGGTTGTTAGCTGCCTTGTGGGTGCTGGGAATCAACTCCAGGTGCTCTGGAAGAGCAGCCAGTGTTAACTGCTGAGCTAGCTCTCCAGTCCCCCAAGAAATATTTTTAAATTGGCCCATTGTAATTTTATAATAACTTTGAAAGTTAAGAGTGTAGTGTAAGAGTGTAGTGTTCTGAATTAAAATCCTGAGCTGTGCTGGCTTGGGCTCTGCATGAGGCAAACCAAAGAGGCTGAAATTTTTTAATTGTCCAAAATGATCTTTGATTCTGCCGTTTTACTTTAAAAAAAAATTTTTTTTTTTTTATGAGTGTATTGCCTGCATGTATGTAAGGGCACCCATGTCATGCAATGCCACGGAGGTCAGAAGACGGCTTTGGATTCCCCTGGAAATGTAAGGACAGTTCACAGCTGCCATGTGGATGCTGGGAACTGAACCTGGGGCCTCTGCAAGAGCAGTCAATGCTCTTAACCACTGAGCCATCTCTCCAGCCCATTTTACTCTTCTATAAAGTGGAAACAGCTGATAACCTTACTGACGTTGTTCCCACATTGCCGTAAAAAGTAGTGTATGTTAAAGCACTTAGAAAATGTAGATGGGAACGAGCAGACCCTGTTCAACAAGGTGGAAGGTTAGGACGAACACCAGAGGTTGTCCTCCCACCTCCACATATATGCTGTAACATGCACATGTCTGGGCGTGGTGGTGCATGCCTTTAATCCCAGCACTCGGGAGGCAGAGGCAGGCAGATCTCTGTGAGTTCAAGGCCAGCCTGGTCTACATAGTGAGTTCCAGGAAACTGGGGCTACAGGGAGACCCTGTCTCAAAAAGACAGGAAAAAAAAAAAAATCACATACATACAAGATTAAAAGATAGGGGAGCTATTATTAGAACCCCTGCTAAGAGGGAAGATAACCTTTAGCAGCTAGATCCATAAGATTCACCACACTAGCTAGCATTTATCCCAAGTGCTTATCTTTTTCAGTCTGCTTCAGAAAACTCAATGGCTGTCCAAAACAGGCCTACAAAGCCCTCTGAGGTAAGACTCTTGCCTTGTGCTCATTACTGCTTTCCTTTCAGTGAATATACAGCGATGAAAGGGACTTACGGTTCCCCATACTTAAGACCATAGTACTTTCTTAGCTATCTTGTGCTTTTGCCTTGGATGGCCATTCCCAGTCTTCTGTTTGTGTCTGTGTTTTTGCACATGCCCTGGGTGCCATCAGAGGCCAGAAGAGGGCATCAGATCCCCCAGAGCTGGATATACAGGCAATCTTGAGCTGCCCCCAGTGTGGAAACTAAGAACTCACGTCCTCTGCAAGAGCATGAGCTCTTAACTGCTGAGCCATCTCTCCAGCACCACCCCCTCTTTTTATAAACCTGGCAGCTGAAACTTAATTATGTTTCCGAATTTCTGGGCTGGGTGTCCGTGCTCCAAGCTCACCAATCACTGCAGTTACTCACTGTCATGCACTTAGGCTTATTTCACTGGATTCTGAGAGCAGAGACCAGGCACTCCTTACACACTGGAAACACGCTTCCTGGGACACAACATAATCCGACTGGCTGTATCAGTATTCATGCAGTGTGGAGGATCTTGGGTATAAATCTCACAATTACAGAAATGGAGACCCACTATCCCCCAGTGACAGGTGTCTGGAACCCCGTTGTTCCCTTATCACAATTTCTTCAGGTTAGCATTACAAGTCTTGACCCTCCCTGGCTAATGGTTCTTTGAGAAAGTACACCCCTACAGATTTCTCATAGTGACACAGCTCATTCCCTCACAGTCCATGTATCTGGGTGTCCCTTTCCCTCAAATCCATTCCCAAACTCACTCCTTCACTTTTATGAAAAAGCCCTTGTAATTTGAAGATAGGAAGTACTGTTAATCCCATCCATTCACATCCTTATTCAGGCAACATTAACCCCCACCATTCACTGACAGTTTAGAATCTGGTCAAATCCTCCTCCTCAATCCTGGCTTATCTGCATTCTAGACTTTGCTGTCTAGGAAAACTCTGTGTAACATCTGGCTTCCCAGCCCTTCAACCACCTCAACCGAAATGCTTACTTTGCCCTTTGGCCGACCACCACCCCACACTGCACTTGCTCCACTCATCAGCTCTCGGGTCCTGACGGCTCTCACAAACTTCAGGCCCTGCTTCCCATTACACTCTTCTCTCCTTCTATCCCTAGACAGTCTGGACTCCATACACCATTACTCCAGTCACTTTATCAGAGCTGTCAGTGTATTTGCTTTATCTTTTCATCTCTCATGGAGTAAAACCATGGTTAATCACCTGCTTCCCATTTGCATTCCCACACAGAATGCTGTGTTGCAGAGGGAAATCATCCCAGTGCTCTGATTGCACTCACTACAATTCTAAGCTTTTGACTTTTTATGGGGGGATGGGGGTCTTTTTGAGACCTAACCTTAAAATCTGTAATGGTTTTCCCCAGTGCCTTCAAGAATGGAACTGGGCCAGCTTGGTGGCACATACTTTAATCCCAGCACTCAGGAGGGAGAGGCAGGCTGATTTCGGGAAGAGCAAGGCCAGCCTGTCTACAAAGCAAGTTCCAGGCCAACTGGGGCTACAAGGAAATTCTGTTTCAAAAAACAAACAAAAGAAAAAAAGGAAATGAACTCCATAACGATGGAGATAAGGCTTTTACCATTTTAACATCTGTGCACTGTTACTTGCTCTAGTGATTATCATAGCAATGGATTTATAGACATTCAATAAATTGATAAATTAATGGGTATACATTGCTGCATATCTTTTTTTTTTCTTTTTGAGAAAGGGTCTCCCTGTAGCCCCAGCTGTCCTAGAACTCACTATGTAGACCAAGCTGTCCTCAAATTTCCAGAGATCCTCCTGCCTCTGCCTCCCTAGTGCTAGGATTAAAGCCTGCTTGCATACCTTTTAACTAAACTTATCTACAACTTACTGCTACACCTGGATTGGAGAGACGGCTCAGCAGTTAAGAACATTGACTATTTTTGCAGAAGACCCAGGTTCAAATCCCAGCACCCGCATGGCAGCTAACAACTGTCCATAACTCCAGTTCCAGGGTATCCAACAGCCTCTTCTGTCCTCCACGGGCACTGCAAGACATGGGTGCACTTACCTACATGCAGGCAATACATACATACACATAAAATAAAAATATAAATTAAAAAAAAAGCCCTTGCTACACATACCTAAGTCATAGTGGTGGCTCTCACCTTTAATCCCAGCAGAGGCAGAGGCAGGCAGATCTTTCTAAGATTGAGGCCAGCCTAGTCTATATACCTAAACCAGCTGGGACTATAGACACACCCTGTCCTTTAAAAAAAAAAAAAAAAAAAAAATACACCTAACCAAGTATGTTGTCAGTTTATACAGCCCTTTAAGGTAGAAAGCTGTTTCTTCTATCAATAACCTATGGATGAATGACTTGAATATAAAAATAGAGCATTGTGTAAAATTTATGAAAGTTAAAATAAAGTTAACCACAACTGCCATGTCTTAGAAGAATTTCAAAAGATTACACTGAGAAAAATCTTGACACAGAATGAAAAGAGACAATAAAAGGAGGTTTTTTTAATTCAAAGGTATAGCCGGATAAGTAGATTTGTTTACAACCATTCTTGTGAAATACTTTTTAAAAAAATACGACCAACTTCTTTGCAAATTACAGACACATACCTCAATTATGATGACCTAATTTTTGGTGGATAATGTACATGATTAGGCAGAAATAGGAAAGCTCATACTGGTAGATTAACTATCAAATACTCAGTCAAAACTCCGTTTGTGGCCCCCACTTCTTGATCGATTTCTGTTCCCACTCCGTCTTCTAGCATCTTGCCGACTTCCTGACCGACTTCCCTGTCGACTTTGTCTACCTGATCGGCCACCAGATCTACCACCAGACCGGCCTGAACGGCCTGATCTGCCACTTGACCAGCCACTCCTCTGTCTGGGATTAGAAGATGTGTTTCCATCATAATATTCTTCAATTTCAGGTAATTTGGCTGGCACTGAGAGTATCCAGTCTGAATCATGCCACTCTGCCTGTGAAGGGAATTTATAGGATTAACAGAAATGTACACATACACATACAGAATTCAAATTTTGGTCTCAAACTGTCAGTGATTTCTCAGACTTCTGGCTAAGATCAAGTATGGAGGGATTCTCAGACCCATTTCAAGACTCTTAAGTTCCTACACCAGGTTACACAGTCTAAAGCAGCACTCTCCACTTAGCTCAGAGACAGACCATTTTGAAGTAAAGCCAAATGGGAGGCTGACACATGAACATCATTCAAAGACTGCCTGGGCTACTACTGAGTTCAAAGCATCTTAGGGAGATTTGTCTCTAAACATACATGAGGCCCTAGAGTTCAATCCCCCACCCCAAAAAAGAAGGAAGCTGGGTGTGGTGGTACACGCTTGTAGTCCCAGCACTTGGGAGGCAGAGGCAGGGGGGAGGCAGAGGCAGGTGTAAGTTCGAGGCCAGCCTGGTCTACATAGTGAGTTCCAGGCCAGCTGGGGCTACAGGGAAATCCTGTTTCAAAAGGACCAAAAAAAAAAAAGGTCCAGTATGTGTGTGTATACATATAAATTTGTTAGTTTTTGAGACAAAGTCTCACTATGTAGCCCTGGCTGGCCTAGGAATTTTATGTAGGATAGGCTGGCCTCAAACTCAGAGATCTGCCTGTCTCTGCCTCCTGAATGTAAAACTATTTTATTCCTGTTACGTATATACTGTGTGTGTGTGTGTGTGTGTGTGTGTGTGTGTGTGTGTGTGTGTGTGCGCACATCTGTGAAATTTAAGAGGACAACTTTGTGGCCTCAATAGTCCTTTCATCTTTTCTAGGTTTTAGAGATAGAAGTCATCAACTTTGCATGCAATCATCTTTATCCATGGGGCCATCTTGGTGGCCCCCTTATGGCTACAATATTTTATGACTTTTTAGGCTGGACATAGTGGGATATGCCTTTAATCCCAGCACTTGGAAGGCAGAGGCAGGCAGATCTCTGAGATGGTGGCCAGCCTGGTCTACACAACAAGTTGCAGCTCAGCTGGAACTACAGGGAGATCCTGTCTCAAAAAAAGGGGGAGAGGGGAGGCTTGAGAAATGGCTCGGGGGTTAAAAGCACTGGCTACTCTTGCAAAGGACTTGAGTTCAGTTCTCAGCACCCACATGGCAACTAACAACATCTACTCCAGTTACGGGAAATTCAATGCCTTCTGACCTCCGTGGGCACTGTATGACACAGGTATACTTACATACATGCAGGCAATATATTCATACACATAAAATAAAATCAAAATAATACTTTTCTAAAAAGTACAAGCCAGGTGTGGTAGGGTACATCTATAATTCCATCACTCAGGAGCCAGAAGCAGGGGGATCTCTTTGAGCTCGAGGCCAGCTTGGTCTACACAGTGAACTCCATGCTAGCCAGGGAAGTGAAACCCCACTTAAAAAAAAAAAAAAAAAAGCCCAGTGTGGTGGCACATGCCTTTAATACCAACAGAGGCAGAGGCAGGTGGATCTCTGTGAGTTCAAAGCCAGCCTGGTCTACAAAGCAAGGTCCAGACCAGCTGGGGCTACAGGGAAACCCTGTCTCAAAAAGACAAAAAAAAAAAAAGGCAAACCAGGTGTAGTGGCACACACCTTTAATCCCAGCACTAGGGAGGCAGAGGCAGATCTCTGTGAGTTTGAGGCCAGCCTGGTCTACACAGTGAGTTCCAGGCCATCTGGGGCTAAAGGGAGACACTGTCTCAAAAAGACCAAAAATAAGTAAATAAATAAATAAATTTAAATAAAAGGACACAAAGTGGGTAGATCTCTGAGATTGAGGCCAGTCTGGCCTACATAATGAGTTCCAAGTCAGCTGAGGCTGTAGGGACACCCTGTCTTGAAGAAAAAAAAAAAAGTAGAATACTCATTCTTATATCAAAATAGGTACATAAGTAAGATATGTAGCAAACAGTAGGATTAAATCTGAGGCCAATTTGAGCTATATAGAGTTCTAAGCCAGTGTGGGCTACATAACAAAACTAGGTCTCAATACTACTTCCCCCAAATGTAAATAAATTTGCAAAGATATAAAAGGCAAATTCTTCACTGTAAGAAATCTAGTGGACCTCTTTGTTCAACAATGAAATGTTTTAGAGAAAAGTCATCCTATAAATTAAAAAAAGACAGGAAACAAGTTACAATGTATGAAATGTATGGACCCAATGTTAAAAAAAACCTTCAGTAAGGCTGGGGTAACTTGGTTAGCTCATCTATTACATGTAAAGCCCTGGCTTCGAATCTGAGCACAACAAAGAAAAATAATCAAAAGACAGCAGGGAAAATCTATAAAATATCAAGGAATGACTGTCTGGAAGGATTTAGTTATGGTATTACGATAATGTTTAAGATCCTAACATTTCAATATGTAGAAATAAAATTTAGTAGCAGCAAGTTTCTCTCTAACAAAGTTGTAATGTTTATCAAAAACATAAACCTATGGTTGAAATGACAGAATGCTTAGAATTTGTCTCTAAACAGAGTGGGAATGGACAAAATAGAGATGAAACAAAAGTGTGAAATTATCAAATTGTTGAAGCTGGCTGACATATTTATGAAGACTCATCATACAATTCTTTCTCTCCTTTTATTTTTTGATCTTTTTGAAACAGGGTCTCCCTGTAAGCCCCAACGGGGCTCACAGAGATCCGCCTGCCTCTGCCTCCCAACTGCTGGGACTACAGATGTGCGACACTACACCTGACTACAATTCTCTTTTTTATATATTTCAGAGTTCTTATAATAATATTTTAATTATGAGACAGACTGAATATTTCACATTAAGGACTTCTTAATTTATTTGGGCATGATAAATGACACTCTATGTTTTTCAAAACAATCTTTTACATAAACATACTCAGCTATTTTAAGATAAAAAATTTAAATACCTGTAACCTTTCTGACTCAGTTGTGGGAACATCAAAGCAAACACCCTAAAAGTAAACAAAGATTTTTATTTAGATACATGAGTTAATTTTTACTAATAAATTAGTACTTGTTGAATTTGCTTGTAGAAAGTATGTCTTCCATTACTGTGTGTAAGATCAATGTAGATGCATAACTGTATGATATGCAGTATTTATTTCATGTATTTTCTAGTCTGAAATAGAACTAAACATAATAAGAATGTACAAAGAACGTAGAACATTCTCTGGAAGAATTTTTGTATAACTAATTTTGCCCTATAGCCCTTAGAAAATAGTAATAAATAATAATAAATTAATAAAGTTTCTTTAAAATATTAGTGAGAAGCTGAGAATATGTGATACAGTGCTGATCTATCATAGGCAAGACAAGAAAATAAAATGCTAACACTGCAAAAAACTAAAATTTTTTAAAGTTACAATTTAGTAGCAGAAAGTTTCTTTCATAGTTATAATGTTTATCAGAAAAAGAAACTCATGTAGAGGTATGGAAATATTGCTCAGTGGTTAAGAATACTGGCTATTCTTTCACAGGACCTGGGTCCGGTTCC